GGCAGCGTCCGCGTCCGCGGAGAGGCTCGGCTCAGCGCGCCTCGGCTCGGCTCGGCTCGGCTCGGCACGGCCGGGCTCGGGCTGCGCCGCCGCCGGGAGGGGTGTTGTTTCCCTCACACAGGAGGAGCCGCTGGAGCAGCCGCCGCCATTTTGAACCCGTCAGACTCTCACATACACACAGCGCCTCGGAAGCCTAGCGCGCACGCGCGGCCTCCTCCCCCCCCCCCCCCCCCCCCCCCCCCCCCCCCCCCCCCCCCCCCCCCACAAACGGGGCCCCCCACCAAAAAAAAAAAAAGCTCCGCACACACCCAGACACACTCCTCCGAGCAGACGCATTGCGCGCGCCCGCCCCGGCCCCGCCCCGCCCCGCGCGCCCGCCCGCCTGCGTGCCCCTCCCCTGCGGGCCGCGGAGCCGCGCTCCGGGGGAGAAAAAGCGCCCCCCGCCCCCCCTGCGGGGCACGAGGCGCCCCCCCCACCCCGGCTCCGACCCCCGGGCCCGGCTCCGGCCCCCAGCCCGGCCCGGTCAACCGCCGTGAGGCCGAGCGGGGCCGGCCCCCGGCCCGCCTCATCACTCATTCAGGGCTGCAGCCCTGCCGCAGCCTCCGCCGCAGAGGGCTGGGCCAGACGCATCGGGCCGGCTGCGATCAGAGCCGCCGCCGCGGATGCTGCAGAGGCAGAGGCGGGCGGGCGGTGGCCGGAGGGGCCAGGCAGGGGCCCGGAGCGGGAGCAGGGGCCGGGCTGGCAGGGCTGGGCTGGGCTGGGCAGGGCAGGGGTCGCGACGGGGACCCGGACCCGGACCCGGACCCGGACCGCTATTCCTCTGGCAGGCCGTTGGGGGGCCCGGGCCGCCCCTCCTCTCTTGCTGGCTGGGGCCGCAGGGGGGCAGGCTGGCAGGGCTTGCTGCAGGGGCCACCCTGTCCAAGCTGTCCAAGTCCCGGGTCCCAGTCCAGGTCCCCACCCCACCCCCATGCCAGGCATCCAGGCCGCCGGCTTTGCCGCAATGCGGGCTGGGCAGCGCTAGCTGCGCAATGGGGCCGTGCCGCAGTGCGGCATTCCCACTCTGCCCGGGGGGGGAGGGGCATTGCCCTCTGCCAACCGGCGGCCCCCCCCCCCGGGGTCCGGTCAGACCGCCAGCTCCCCAGTGTGCGGCAGGCGGGGGTCCGCAGACGGCTGACCCCGACCTTGCCTCGCCTTGCCAGCCCAGCGGTCCCGTGCTCATCCTGGTCCTCCCGGTCCTCGCCCATCCCTCCGTCGGGCTGTCCGGGCAGGTGGCTGGCGGCTGGCGGGCAGCCCCGAGCCCGAGCTGTGTCCAGGGGAGCCATGGCGGATGCTATGTCGCTGCAATCCGCTGCGCCTGCTTGCGGCACTGCGGCATTGCGGTGATGCCGTGCAGCGGGCACTGCGGCAAAGCGCGTCCACACCCCGTTCGAATTAGCCCGGGAAGCCGGCCCCGGCATCCCTCTCCTCCTCAGCTGTGTTCATGTTTCCGATAGTGCCGATGGCCTCCGGTGCAGTCCCGACGCGATGGATGGACTGGCGCCCCAGCAGAGCCGATGTCAGCGCGAGTGGTGCAGAGCTGAGCCCAACCAGCTGTCCCCGCTGCCTCCAGAAAAGGGTGTGCATCTCAGGGTGAGTTTACACACGCGCGGTCCAGCCGGGCGGGTTTACACACGCGCCGCAACCAGTGTGACCTTAACGTAAGTGACAGACTAGCCCAATACCAGGGTCAGATTTCCTGCCGTCTCCGCCGTAAGACCTGGCCCGTTCCATTCTTCCACCCAAATAGGGTACGGTGGAAGATCCCAGAGGATCCGCCTACCCATTTTTCCCCTCCTCCTTCGCCATCAGACTAGGGAGTGGGGGGGGGGGGCGCTGGTGGAAGAACCCAGGACGCCAAGTACCGCTACTGCATTGGTGACTGCGGCATTGCGGCACTGTGGGGCTGCGGCGGCGGGCTAGCTGAAGAGACAAACATTGTTACCATCTAGGCTTCCTCTTTGTTACCATTTAGACTTCCTCTTTGTTACCGTTTAGACTCCTTTATCAGCTCCAGAGGATAGGAATAAAGAAATCACCGGCATTGAGCCTTGAGCCCGAGGGTTCGCACCCCCCAAAGATGGTCTTTGGAGCAGCCACTTGGGCACGCCAAGGCCAGTCAGCCCACGGTTCCCTAGGTTGGACTGGCGCAATTGCTCACCCGACTCTCTACCCCACGATCTGCGATCCGTGATCCGCGATCCGCGATCCCGATCCGCAGTCCGTAAGTGGCTGCCTGCCTCCGCAGCCACCGCGAGGTAGCTACGGGTCTGGTGTTGGCACATTGTGGATTGGCCCTTCCTGGGGCATCAGAGGAAGCTGCGGATCTGCGGAGGGTTCTGACACCCGCTATCAGCAGCCGCAGTGCCCTGGACCAGGCTCCTTGGGCATGCTCGGAGCTGTGCCCCCATTCCCGTGCTAGGTCTCTTCACGGTTTTTTTTAACTGGCACCCTCTCTGGGGCCAGGCTCCAACCGAACAACTTGTGAACCCCTCAGAAACCTCCCCAGCCCCTTGAGGAAGATTTCAGAGGGATTGGCAATAATAACACTTCCTATTTTACTAAAGCAGTGCTTACAAGTGCTGAGTCCTGGAAGGCACTGTTTAAATGGAGGGCTACGATTATTGGTCACGTGAGGTTTTTCTGCAGGCAACCCAAGGCGTTTCCCTGATATGGAAAAACAGCATCCATGGGCCATCCATGGGCCATCCATGGGCCATCCACGGGCCATCCCTGGGCCCCGGGTCAGCAGGAGAGGCAGCATTAGGTTCCTGTTAAAATCGATAGAACCGTGTTAGGGGAATGTACTTGCGTAGTCCCAGGTAGCTGCAGGAAGGAATTCAGCAATTCCTAATCCAGCGGTCTGCTGTGGTATGAGATCTTGGTCACCTGCAGAGCACAGATTTTCCTTAAGTTTTTGTTTTTCCCAAGAAAAGCCCTTTGGGGAGGGACCCAAAGGCCCGCCAAATTGCAACCCTGCCCCAGACAGACCCACTGTGGCTCTGGGCCCACCTTCCCAAGTACTAAGACTGTAAGTTACAATGGGGATGGCTTCATTCCCTGGAAGGAATACCTCCTAGGTTTTCAGTCATAAGGCCGGGCCAAAACCAATGTTTTCCTGGTTACCTAGGGTTGTAGAATTTAGCACAGTCATTGGATATGCCTTTCTTGGAAGCCAGGGAAGAGGCTCTTAAGTATCTGAACACAGACTGGTAAACAACAAAAATTTGGTCAGCCCCCATTGTTCTCTGGGTTAGCCTCTC